GAATCTCAATATTTCTACCACTGCCCAGCGGCAAAGATTTTGAATCAGTTCTCAAATCTGATTGCTTAAAAGGACTTAAAATCAGGTTATATACCTTATTAACATGTCTTTGTTGTGCATTTGTTTGTTTGTTTTATTGGCAACACCATAGCTGAGCATTCAAACTGTGCACTGATGACACAGAGCAAAACCCCACAGAATCAGACTTTTTGGCTTTTGTATATAAGAAACTAACAAATAAACATATCAAACTTGCTTACCTGGTTTTGAAGGAGAAATGTCAGTTCAGAGTGATTTTGGTTATGAGAGGAGGTTCAAAAGATTTCTGCTATCGCCAACTTACAAGACTAAACAATTCTTTTGCATAATGCAGAGAAAGAATCTTGGACTTAAAAGTAGATTCAGTCAGAGAAGACAAATTCCCAGTTAAACTCAACATATCCTGTGAGAATTCACAACACTGCAAGAGAAAGGGATGTGAAGAGTTGTAAACTGAGGGAGCAGCTGTGGTTGTATGTAGCTGTATGCAACAGCTCTGGAAAAGTACATTTGAATTTACCAAAGATAGAAGCGAAAAGGCTGAACAGTCAGTAATATATAAACCTACATGGTCGTGTCTTGTGAGTCTATGCAGTAAGTCTTTCTACTCTACCTGACAATGAGGCATGCAGCCACATCAGTGCAGTCACTCGCTGTCAGGTCCTCTGGCTGGGAGAAGTGCTGGCAGGGGCTGAAAGACAGAAGCATTTCTGCATTGACTGGCATCACGTCCGCTGTCACGGGCTTTAAACGCCCCAAGAAACCGTCTGCATCTCCCATAGCTTTCAGGTTAATCACTCCACTCCCATCTTTCATGATGCATTTGCAGTTGTTGACTTTGAAGCAGCCTGACTTCTTGGCAGAACTTGAATAAGAGGAGAGAGACAAGGAAAACAAGTTAAGATAAACAAAAAGTGTAAGAAAGATGACCTGGAGGCTCATGGTGGCAGTGTGCACCACTGCAGAGAGGGCAAGATGTGTGCTGTTAGCTACCCAGACAGCAGCTGACAGCATAGTGAGGATTGAAAAGTAATTAGAATTAAGGTGATTGCCATTCCAGGCATTCCTAAGACCCAGTGTACTCACATCAGCATCTGTCAAAATGTAGCGACAAGCAGGCATCACCAGTGTCCTAGTGGTTTGCAATGTATGACAATAAATTATTACTTTTTCTATTGAAAGTTCCAATAAAACTGTTCTCAGTAAGGACTGTTTAATATCCAGTGTCCAGTGACAGTTTAATATTCATGACACCATAACTGGAAAAACTGGAAGCAAATAAAACCAAAACTATCTCACCAGCTAACCACCAATAGAGGAAAGTGGAAACATTATTTTTAGATTTTGATAAACTGGTGATTTAAACTACTGTGAAAATGCTCCTTCCAATTGTCTCTTCATTTATGATAATAAACTAGGCAGACAGTATCTGAAGCCAGAGGCTCACTAGACAGAATGTTTAATATACTGAGATTAGGGCTGTCACAATATCAGGTTTATAGTTCATGATTGTTGTGGCACAAAGAATTCACAATAAAAAATTATCTATAAAATCTATAAAACAGGGCTGCAAGGTGGCGCAGTGGTTAGCACCATTGCCTCGCAGCTAGAAGGTTGTGGTTGGCGTCCCAGTTAGGACATCTGGGATCTTTCTGCGTGGAGTTTGCATGTTCTCCCACTGCAGTGTGGGTTCTCTCTGGGTTCTCCGGCTTCCTCCCACACAGTCCAAAAACATGCTGAGGTTAATTGGTGATTCTAAATTGTCCGTAGGTGTGAATGTGAGTGTGCTTGGTTGTCTGTCTCTAAGAGTAGCTCTGTGATGGACTGGTGACCTGTCCAGGGTGTCCCCTGCCTTCACCCAAAGTCAGCTGGGATAGACTCCAGCCCCCCCACGACCCTAATGAGGATTAAGCGGTGTATAGATGATGGATGGATGGATGGAATTTGGATGCACAGTACAATAATACTTCCACAGTGTAAAAATCAGCTCTGCTCTTATGTCAGACAGTAACATGCTTGTGTTTCTGAATTTACATAGAATCTCTGATGAGTTCTGGCCTTATTGTTGTATGTTTGGACAATAAATAATGTGGAGGTAGGGGCTCTGGCACTGTCACCTCACAGCTAGAAGATCCCTGGTTTGCATCCCGGCCTGGGCCTGGACTGGGATCTTTCTGTGTGGAGTTTGCATGTTGTCCCTGTGTATCCCACAGTCCAGACCTGTTAAGGTTAATTGGTGATTCTAATTTGTCCGTAGGTGTGAATGTGAGTGTGTCTCTCTGTGTAGCCTGTCCAGGGTGAACCCTGTCTTTGCCCAAAGTCAGCTATGACAGACCCTCAGTGCGGATTAAGCAGTGTATAGATAACGGAGGGTTAGATGGATAATGTGGAAGTATGCTGCCCTCCAGTGGTATGTTAGTAATATAGCCTGCTTTAGTTAAAATTAACAGCTGAGAGTCTTTTAACAGCTCTATCAAGTTATCATTACTGAAAGATGTTTTTGAAAAAAAAAAATGGCTCAAGTTCAATGAGACACTGATTGAAGTCTGACTGAAAAAACATAAAGTCATCAATTCATGAGCTTTACATTGGCGTCATATTTATATTTTTTTCAATCCAATTCAATTCAGGGAGGTTTTGTTGCCATGATGCAACACTGTTGTCAAAACATCAAAATGCTACTTATCCAGTTGTCCAGTCTCTCAGCTGCTCCTCTTTTCTGTCATTTTTTAATCAGAAAAATCTGGTTCAGAGACATCAGATAGAAAATTACTGAATCACTACTACAAGTCATCAAACTGATGGACTGATCTGAAATTTAAGGGCTTTAGTATTTAAAATAAATAAATAAATAAAATAAATCTATTTTAGACTATAAAGGTCAATAATGCTGTCTAGCAAACATTACTCAAACAACATGTGACTGTGCAGCTGTGGGGATTACCACCAGCAGCAGCATATGAATAGATATTCAGTTACTATTAAGTATTTCTGACAGCAGGATTAACACAAAATTGTATGGAATCAGTTGATCACAGTACAAACTTAAAACACCATCACATTCACTTGTAAATGGGGATTTGTATGAGGAAAAAAGAGTGAAATAAAATCAGTCGGAAGATGTGCCATTACTTTTGAATTTAATTTGAAAGGGTTAAAAGTGGATGCTGAATTGTTTTAAAGGTAGAGAGGCAAAAGCTCATACCTATTTGAAAATTTGGAACATTTTACCTCAATAGTTTCCACAAAAAAAATCCACCTGCAAAATGCATTTATTTCAGGGATCATTCATGTGCAGCCATAACCACCATAACACTGGTGCAACAGAAGTAAAGTGAGATTCTCAATAGATAAGTTTATTATTGTTTGGTAACTTTCAAAGTCACTAAAACCATTAAACTGGGCTTGACATTTTAAATGTTGATGACTGAGAAACTCACCAAAAAGAAATTAAAACCCTTTCTGGCTTTACAACATTAAAGCTAATAATCCATAATTGTCTTGTCACCAAATATAAGATGGCCCTCACTTTTTCAAACATTATTTCCAGAAAAAAATATGAAGTTCCATTTGACCCAATATGTAATATCCGTTCACTCCAGAGTGACAGAGAACGTTCAGCATAGATTTATTTGGTTTAGGCACTGGGTCTGCAGTTTTGTCCGTTTTATAAAGGCAGGGACAGTCCTGCTATTTGAACCAATGAAGTTTTTCTAAAAGCATTTCTTAAATTTTGACACAACTAGAGCAACTTTTAAAGCAACCTTGTATTTTCCTCCCAGTCAACAAAGCCTCTGTCAGCACTTCTCTACTCTATGGCCCTCAGCTCAAAACATATATCTTTAAAATGAACTCATACAAAGACCACAGTAATTCCATAAAACAGCAGCTCACAGGCATTTTTTTATTAAGCAGACTTAGCTAAAACATTTGTTGTCGACTATTTTCAGCCACGGATTAACCCACATTTTGTGATGTACTAAGTATTTGTGGCAACAGGCTGTGGATGTGGAACTGACTCAAAAAAAAGTCATAAAGCAGCAACATGTCAGTAACCTACTGATGTGCTTTGATAGTTTTTGGACAACAATGCAGATCTGATTCTCAGAGGCTGACATACATCGGGCTCTGATGTACACACACGACTTATTATTGGATACATTCAGTGTGGGTTTGTATGTGTGTGAGATTTGTTGAAAAAGCTAAATATAGATATCAATAGACTTAACACATGCCTCTGTCACTTGACATTTTGCCTTTAAACATAATTATCAACTACATTTGTCACTCTTCTGTCAACAAGAAGAATAAACGCAGAAGCTTTGTAAAACAATTTATGATAGTCATGGTTTTTAATTCAATTGTTCTTAAGAAAATATGTGGCACCTTGAATGCATGTGCCTATGTAAAGTTTGAATGCGTTGTCATTGTATTTAATGTCCTCTATTTTCGTGAGCATAAACTATGCTTTAAATTAAATGATAGTGTGTTCATTTTAAGCCACTAAAGGATAATTAAGGTTGACCTCAGCCTGCAGTATTTTCCAATCATGTTTCTATGGGTAATGTCATTTTGAACTCCGACTCCCTGCAGCTTTCCAAAAAAAAAAAAAACTCACTGAAAGGACACAAATTGCCACCTGGAAGAGACATTGTGCTCACTGCATTCTTCTGCACTGCCCTCCAGGCATCTCCCACTGCATGTTTTTGGGAGGAGGTAGTTTCACGTGTTGCTGCAACATGTTAAAATACTACAGCCTTCTTACACTGCTTCATCATCTGCCATCAAGCAGCTACATAAGTTGAAATATTTCCAGAAAATATCTCTTCTAATAACACCAAAATGTAAACAGGGATTCTCTTTGCCAGTGTGATTTGGTTCAATAGAATGAAATGAAATACCTGGTGCAATGATAAATGAATCTGAGGTGTCACGGTTCTTGCTGAAGAAATACACAACAATTTGTCTTTTACACAGATTTTATTTTGTCAATAGAAAAAGCTTTTAAGCTTTGACAGCAAATTTGCGGATGGAGTAGAGGAGGTCTTTCCTCTGCTGTTTCTTGGTGCGCAGACTCTCTTCATGCTTGTTGAGTCGGCGACGCAGAGCTCTGGTCTTCTTGGGTCTCAGATCCAGGGGCTTGTACTTTTTGCCCTGTGAGGGATGAAATTGAAATTCAGTAGAGCTGAAAAACTATTCTGCTAGATGGAAAGGCTAAACTACAACTGTTGACTACATCTCCAAATGTTTGAAATTTTAAACAATGTATTTCATCCAAATGTCAAACACTTCAGACAGCATAAGTGTTGCATGCATTTTGTTTAGCCAAGGAATGACCACACACCAGGGCTTTGTAATTCAGTTCAGTGTTATTTCTAATCATATTTTAAATCCAATACCAGAAATAACACTTTTGTTAGTACATCACCAGCTCAGGACAATTGACATGTAATGCATCAGAAGAGAAGAGCACCACACTGTCATTTACTACGTTTACATTGACTGCAATCTTTTCTATGTAACACAATGAGAAAGGATGTTGAAGGTCTTCCTGAACCCTTGTCTGATGAGGATTCGAGCAGAAACTCAGATCACAGGCTTTTTAGATGTGACAGTCTAACAGCCTTAAATGAGATGAAATGCTATCCAGCTCTTCTGATTTGTTCCATCTTCAAGTCTCACAACCTTTAGTTAGTACACAAACTTGTGTGACTTGTGATGTCAGCTTTTTGGGGAAACAATCAAGTCATCTTAATCTGCACAGGCTGTAAGGGCATTTTTTTTTTACCACAACAAAGGAAATAAAACCTCATTGTGTAAATAGTACAGCAATAGGACAACAACATGAGAGCTGCACTTTGTGTCAAGGGGAAAACTGATGAAACACCATCCAGAGTATTTTCTGTAGTGTGGTAATAGAAACATTAAATTAAATCTATTTAGTTTAATCATGACTCCAATGAGAAGAACAAACTATATATTGTCTTAATTAGAATCACTGCAGTCAATGTGAACTTAGTCAATAATTAAGAAAATTTGGGTCATCAAGTCTCAGTCTTTTGGTAAGCAGTTGTGAATGCATCAGCAAAACATCAGCTCAACAACTATCATCTTAGACAAGAGAACCAAACAAGAAAAGTCCCAAGCAGGCATGTCTGTGTGCTACATGAGAACCCTGTGCTTGTAAAGTCCAAGGCAATTGCTTGTCTCACCTTGTAGAACTTCCTCAAGTTCTCCTTCTGTGTCTGGTTGATTACAGTCAGGACTCTAGCGATAGATTTGCGAACAACACGGCTGTGAAGAAACAAGAGCCAAGTCAGACAGCTGCACCAAAAAAAATTAGTCTAGAGAAGATAGCCCCAGCATAATACAGCTATACACAAGTAACATTATCTGAAGAATTTGTGGTGGATCTGCAGACCCCGACCCCCACTGTACAGACATGTAAATTCAAAAATATTGTAACTTGTCCCACTTTCTTTTTAATTCAGTGGTAGCAATATGGAGTTTGTTGACTTTAGTAAAGTGAACCTAACACACGTAAAAGTGGTCACCACAACCCTCTAAAGGCCATCTTTACAAACAGAAAAAATCCACAATTACATAATTCATTACAGTTTGAACTGTTAAAATAAAATAAATACAAAGATTTACCAGATGTTCAACTTTCCAACAGTCACTCATCTACTGCTATTTTGTTGGAAAATGTGACCAAATCTTAGCTCAAACTAAGTTTTCATTCTAATCACTATTTTACACATCTTATAACAAAAAGCTTGGCCAACTATCAAGCCACTGTTTATTTAACTGGACCTACAGTCACAGCACATGCTCTTTGGCTTACACGCCTTTTTTGTTTCAGTTGTAAAACCACTCCAGGTGCTTGAAGTTCAGAGGGTTTACCAGTTTTGAATACATAGTATTAACATGAATATGTCTCACAAGCCTCATTAAGAACTTATTTTGATCACATTTCAGAGTACTGTAGTCATCAGATCACAAATGATAGCACTTGGCCCCTTGGCCATAACACTACAGCACCTAATCACCTGTGCTTACAATGACCATTAATTAGGAGCAGTAATATAAAATCAGGACCAGTCTGGGCCCGTAGGAAAGTGTGCTTGAGTGTTAACAGATCATTTACTACTTACATCTTGGACAGCTTGGAAGCAGCTCCTCCGGTAACCTTGGCCACACGGAGCTGAGACAGTTCATTTTTCAGGTCGTCCAGCTGCTTGAGCAGCTCTTCTTTTTTCTTGCCCCGCAGATCTCTTGCCTTGATCTTGGCCTGGATAGTAACAGAAAAATGAAATCTGTGTTAGTGAGAGCATCACATTCGTTTAAAACTCGCCATTTCAGGAGTCCTAACAGAGGCATCACCTCGATTCGACTACAGTCAAGCATTTTTTGGAACTCGGCGCTTCTTCCCAACGAGACGGCCAAGCTAACACAGGTCGTCAAGATTAGACCATATACCTCCACATAATACTACCATTAAACATGCTGTCTGCTACCAATACTGACAAAAACGTTGGCTTTACGTGTTCAATATACATGTAAAGATAACGTTATACTGTCAACATTATAGTCCAGTCCTAGCTAGCAGGCTATTGCTAACCTGCCATGTTACAAATAGCAACTCAGCTCAGCGGCATCAGTCGGAACTACCGCTCTGCAAAATACCATTTTATTCCACTCCGGCAGCAAGCTGCTCAACAACAAGAACACGAACAAACAACTAAGAGGCTTATGCGTACATATAACACGAGTTAAACGAGTTCGGCTGACTGTTTCGGGAGAAAATTTCATATTTAGTTGCAGAGTGCCGCCGCTCACCATGTTCCTTCTCGCTGCCCTGTTGGAAAGGCCGGACGCACCGCGTGCTCACGAGAAGTAGCTTCCGGACAACTTCTTCTTCGTCGAGTTGGTCCGGAGGTGGCAGCGCCCCCTGCCGAGAGGAACTCTGGACAAACAACTGTGAGACGTGTGGAACAGACAGGGAACGGAACAACAAAACTAGGACAAGAACAATATTTATGGTGAGGTTGAAAATAAATAAATAAATAAATCTATGTATCTATCTTAAAATAACACACATAAGAACAAAAGCAATGCATAAAACATTGCATTATTAAAAGGGCTCTATGCAATCCTTGGATTGAATTTTATTTCTACTGTTCTCTGGATAAACAACCTACAAAAAATGACATTTACATATTAGAATTTTTACAGTGTGAAACAAAACATGGGAAAAAAATGGCAAAACTGGTGCTCCAACAAATGTGCGAGATTTGGAGTCAGGTGTGATTTTATAATTTTGGGTTTATTTTTAATAAAGGTGGGAAAGGAAACCACTAAAGTGGCAGCAATCTTCAAATCATAAAAAGCAAAAGAAGAACAGCTGTAGTGATTGTACAGTTTTGTTTTAGGGTTTAACACACAGAATCAATCAGGTTTAAAAAGTGCATTCACTGTTTCTTTGATTCTCATGGAGACAGTATATTACCCACTGGAGTCTGTGTGACCACATCAGTCTGCTACCTGTCCTTAGTAACACAAGATTATGACAATTCTGCATTCACAGATGTACTCGTGCAACCCAATATACAAAGAATGAATAAAACAGATACAACTTTAAATGGCAAAAAAAACAAGTGTTGTGACAGACATCACACTCAGGAGTGGGGATAGGGATGGGTAGAGGGACTGAGTGACAAGCTGAGGCAGAAACATGTATGGGTTCAGGTCTATGATGATGATAAATATTGCAAACTGGTCACATCAAACCATTTACATCCACTGATTTATAAAGTTCTCAATGCATACAGTATGTACAAATTTCTATATATATAAATAGACATGTGGAATGTACTTTCATTTAAATTAGCAAAGGCAGGTAAAGGTAGAGCATGTCCTCCAATCATGTACATAGCATTTACTTTTATTATCACACTGTTAACATTGTCCAACTGTAAAAATACAGCCCATTTCATTCACACTAGTGTTAAAGGACCTACAACAGTCTGCATGTACACCCCCTGTGTGTTTTTTTTTTTACCCTGAACTGGGCCCCACAGGCACTACTTCTGATTAATTTACAATTCAACAACAACCTCTACTAGTCAATCATTTTAGCTGACAGGTGGTTTCATTTAGGGTTACTGTTAGATAACTGTCTACCAAACCAAGTGACAGAAGAAGGTTCTGAGAACAAGGTGCACTTGGAGGGTCAACTCATTGTAAAAGTAGGCCAATGGCCTAGCTGTTAGCTTTTGATACACATTAGTATTAAATCTTTAGTTCTAAATGCTTCTTTGTCTAGGGCCTTTGAGATTTCAGTTTACCACACGTATGCTGGCATATATATATATTAAGTAGAAACAAAAAAATGTAGTACAGAAATGCCGACGTGTTCCTGTTACATAGTTTGTCCACCAAAGAGACCAAAATTCTTTGTAATCAAATTTAACAGATCCTTAACAAAAATTGACTGATTTATTCTGATATGCAATATCCCTGTCAAATTTGTCAAATGCTGATATCAATGAAGTGGCAAAAGGGCATCAGTTACATTTCAGTGTTCATGATGGTATTGATGCAACGTGTTAATTTCTCCAGAAAACTCTGGGATATGGGGGTGCGATTGGACATTTATGCCGCTTGGATTCCCTTGACTGTTCAGAGAACGTTGATACTTAAGTGAAATTGATATGGGTTAACAAATAAACAAGTAAGGTCCTTTGTCACCAGTGTGAACTATTTATGTCAATTTGACAGTATTAAATAAACTCTCATTGATACAGAAGAAAAGATAGCTTCAGTATCCTGCACAGATCCTTAAAATGACACATTTTCACTAAAGAAGCCCTCTGTCATTAAAATGAAAGATTACCCAAGTAACATGCTAATAGGTCCTTCAGCAATCGAAGGCTGCACCATCTGTCCAGTGAAGACAGCTGCATCATGTTTTGATGCTTATCCCAACAAAAAGAGGGCAGAAGTGAGGCAGTCCCTAAAATAACAGTCAAGTCATTCTGTTATTTCTGTCTGATGTTGTGTCTCATTTTCTTACATGCGAACTCACTTTTTTTTGCTGTTAACACTGACTAGAAAACATCAGATTTGTGTCATATGTTGAAAGAAAAATGAGACAGTGGACAAAAGCTGGTCTGCCTCAGCAACTGACAAGAAAATAATGTCATTTTAAAATCAACAGCTGATTATGAATAAGCCTTTATCCCCCAAACATGTGCAGGCCCCTTCACCGTCCCCATGGAGCAAAAAACTGTTATTTTCACAAAGCGCCAGAGAACAACTGTGGGAGGCTGTTCAAGATTAAAGCTAGAGTCCTGCTCAGTGATGGGAGCCACACTGGAAGGACCGTTTTTTTTTTTTTCCTGGAGGTGGCCCTTTCTGTCCTTTCTCTCCATCACTTCAGCTCTTACTGGTGCTCATCAGCTCCAGTGAGTCGAAGCGCCTGAGATTGAAGGCCGGATGATACCCTTTGGAGAAGGTTTGGATCCAAACCAGGACATCTAGGGCACAGACAACAAACCAGTCATACGCTGAGCTTAACAGAACTAGCCTACATGTGAACATGTTGTAGCTAGCAATTACATCCTCTTGGCTGTGTTACAAGGTTGGTATAGAGGCGTTGAATAAATGCTCAAAATTGTACCCTACAATAGCAAACCACAGTAATCACATATTTGATCGAAATCGAGTTACAACCTGTGTCTGGCTGTTCTACTGATAAATGATCTGCTCTCTACTATAGAAAAAACACAACCATCGAAATATATGGTTTCAAAGTAAACAGCTTTTTAAATGAGCAGCACCTACAAAATGATGCTAAACCCCAAATGCAGTATGGGTAATTTGTATGTGTAGTTGCTGTATTCTGCTTATACAGCTGCCAGGCTGCAGTTACTGCACTCTGGCTTAGTAATGTGTGTGCTAAATCCATAGAAAGACAGGTAATTACACAGCTAACTACACAAATAAAGTCAAAGGGCTATATGAGGTGAAAGCTAGCTGCTGAGATAGCGGGAGGTAGCCTTAGCTAAAACTAAAGACAAGATTTAGTTATTGATTTAGCCCAAATTATTGTACTATGAATTAAAATATTCATTTCACTTTGTGTTCTTCTCTTGAAAGCAGCATTTGCTTTAATCAAAATCATCAACACTAATGTAAATAACTTTATTTAAAGTCATCAAGTCGAACTATTTCTAATTTTACAGTGTATGCTGCTGCCTCACAGCAAAAGACTTGTAGCTGCCAAGCCATTGCCTGATGTTATGATTTGGATTTCTAACTATTGTCCTGAAGTCTGTCCTTGCAGCCCTTGGGTCAGCCCCATGACAGAGTAAACATTTGAGACCATTTTAATTCACAGCCATCATGGATTATAAAAAATAAATTACTAATTGTTATAGTTATCATACTAACCTTTGGGAGATTGGGATTATGACTGAATATAGTGAGCGTTTTCAAACACCAACCTTGTACTCCAGAGTTTGCTTCAGCATATCCTCTTCCTCACGAGTGAAATTTAGCAGCACAGACACAGCTCGTATTAGCTGATATGCCTAAGGAAGCAAAACAAAATGGATTCAGTCTGGGTTTGTAGCAAAGCCTGGATCTGTCATGTAGTAAATACATAACAGACTCCTGCAGTACCACACAGAAAAGATTTGGTACAAAATGAGACTTACCTCAGCTTCTCTGGATGACATGAACTTGAGGACGACGTGCTTGAGATACTCAAAGTTGATTTCTCGTGAGTCGTTGAGGTCTGAGGTGTTGGTCACTGTGGTGTTGGAGGTCGGGGGGCTTGGGGTGGATGCCAGCGGGGGGTCTGAACAAACCCTCTCCTGTTTTTCAGCTCGGCTTTCTGGCAACTTCTCCTTTCCTTCAACTTCTGGCTCAGGCTTTATTTTCTACAGATTACAAAGAGGGAAAGGCGCATACAACATTCATCGTAACTTATACTGAATGAGCACAAAAAAACACAAAACTCTGCATAGTGTAGTACAATCCAAAAGAATGGTCCTTCAACAAGTCCTCCCTTTGTGAAGCTTCTCATGTTCAGTGAAAGTCATAGCTAGTGGTGCTGGCGAGCCAGACTGTATTATGTAAAACTGTTTATTGTGATGTTCACATGCAAGTCGTTGCAGGGCACTGGGAAGTTTAACATAATACATTTAAAATTGAACAAATATTTTGAACAAAAAAAAGGTTAATCTATAGTGTAGTTAATAACACCCAGGTTAAAAAAAATAATTAAAAATTACCAGGATGGCCGTTCTAATATTATACAATGTACAAGTAAAAACTCACATTTTTTTTTATTGAACTATGACACATTTTTGTTTGTCAGATCAATGTTTCATGACATTGGGTCAAGTTTAACTCACAACCTGTATGCTAGAAATACTTTCACTGATGTTTAGTTACCCTGAATGTGCTGCAATGTAAGAAAACACATACAATAGACTAAACACAAATGAGGGAAAAAAAACTTCACCAATTTGACAACTCATGCACAGCATTCAAAGTAAATGCTGACACACCCAAATGTCAAAATATCCTGAAAAAAACATAAAACCCAACCAAATACTAAGAGGGTAAAGGATTAAGTGTCGTCCAGTGGTGCGGTTGTAAATTCCCACCAACTCTCTCAACCTCCTTTTCCAAAAATGTGGAAGGACTTAAAGCAGTCATACTTCAGCAAAAAAAGCCCAGACACCAGCTGTTTACCAGCAGCATTTCAGTATTTCAATGTCTTCTGTATTTGCAGTGTGATTTAATATTTTGTTGTATTTTCTCACTTTGCATTTGCAATTTATTTTTTTCTTAAGCTGCAGGCATAACTGAATTTTTGAAGAATTTATATTCATACCAGCTTTAGTATGACGTTTAGCCAAACCAGAGAAGAAAAATTGAAGGGTAGTTGTCCAGATTTCATTGCCTTATTTTTATTTTCTCCAGTTTTAAGAGACTAAATAGATCAACTAACTTAATCACAAAATTTTCAGCATGCAGACAAATTCCGAAATAACACCACAACGAGATTCACTGTGTCTTACCAGTTCTTTCTGCAGAGTTCTTTTCAGTTCCGCCAGTCTCTGCTGCAGCTGCTTAATGGTCTGCAAAACAGCATCAGTTTGTTTAATTTACAGTGATGCTTGGATGTATTTGCAGGTTGCCCAGAGGTGATATTGCTGTTTTAGCTAGAGGAACCACAAAATGTAAGATAAAGGTGGCTAACCCTGTTCTTGTCACTGAGCTGCTGCTCCAGCTCTCTGTTAACTTTCTGGATGTGATCCAGATCATCCATGGTCACACTGCCATTCTGATCCTCTTCACACACTTCAGGACTGTGAAGCTGTTCTGTCAGTGTTTCCACCTCCACCTCCAGGTATGAGATCTGTAGAATACACATTAAACAACCCAGACCATGAATTCATATTCCAGGAAAAGAACATTAATGTAACGCGAGTTAGTTTTAAAGTAAATTCTATAACCTTGCCTCAACCCTTTTATTGATGATTAGAAAGTTGCTGTAGCATTAAAAGAAATAATATCAATCACCCATCATCAAGAACTAGCCAAAGTACAACATCTAATAAAATGTCATTATATGAACACTGTTTTAAAAATTTGCTTTATTGACACAACAATAACCTCAAAAGATTAAATGTACAATTAAATGTAACTCTTTTTCCTTTAAGTATAGAAGCAATGGTACAAAGTAACATGTTATATTTAAAGTGGCCTGACTCATTTAAAAATGCTTTCCAGCAGGTCTCTGTTCTGCAACACATAAAAGACAAAATCACATTACAACACAAAATAAAAACAGAAGCAAGACAACTTATAATACTATTTCTTATTTCTTTTAATATTCTTTAATATTATTTCTTTTGTTTTTGGTTTGAAAGTTTGGATCAGCATAACTGCAAACTGTCTGGTTTGATATGAGGAGTTAAGGAAAATGCTGAGCAGGAGCAACATGAACATTTGCCTGGAACTATTTTCACTTCATATTATTTGCTGCATTATTTTTAATGACATGTTCATTATTGTTATATTTGAGAGACACTGTATGTTCCTGTGAGAATATGTACACATATGTTCGAAAGTTTTTGACGGCGTGTAGGTTCTGACCCGCGCCTGGCAGCTGTCTAGCTGCTGTGTCTGGCTGAGCAGCTCCTCCCTCAGGCTGATCAGCTGGGAGTCTTTGTCCCGCTCCATCTGCTCCAGCTGGGCTCGCAGCCGCTCAGTCTCCTCCTGCAGCTGGTCCAGTGAGGTCTGCCGACTCTGCACCTCTGCATGCCACACACACACACATTGTTTTTGAATCAAAAATCATATGGAATGGCGTGGACAAATTCTACAGAATCAAGCTATACTTTCTATCATTCTATGTTTTATGTGTTTTTTTTAAATTCCACAATTACAATTAAATGTATTCATGTGGAATCTGTTCAAAAAGGACATCAGCAGACTTAGATCTCAGTAAATCCAATACACAAGTAAACAGAATCACAGCTTTCCTTTTGGCAGGGAACCACAGTGTGTGAACCACATCTGATTTGTAATAAAATGATAAGCTAATGCTTAATGCAACCAAACTCCACCATTCAGGTGGCAATTTTTAGAAAGAATTTATAAAATAAAATCAAGGTTTTTTTAAAATATATATCACAATTTAAAACAGCTGATGTTAAACAAAGTGCTTGACATGGCAGGCAAAAACAAAAATGTGTGCAAAACTGCAAGAGAAAACTGAAAAAAAAAACTGTAGAATCAAATTGTAAAAAACAAAAAAAGTAAATATGATTTGCTAAAATTAAGATTAAGCTCATTAAGAGCATCGAAAAGCCATTGAAGACATGTATATCTTGAGATTTTTCTTTAAAGTGTCAATAGAGGAGGAAAATTTGATAAGAAGTCTGAACTGAAGGCTGAAGGCAAAACTTTGGACAAGAATGGGAACTTGTATATGGGAAGGAAATTAATGAGGTCTGCTTTTTTAAGGTTTGGATATTCATGCAAGGCTGGACTACTGGGAACATCTTGATTAATAGGACTGCTGTTCATTACAAATCAAAGCTGTAGGTCCGACTGTGTCCAGTATTTCCTTTAAGAAATGTGTAGTGTGTGCATACCAATCTGGAGTGTTTCGACGTCTTCGTCTCTCAGGACAAGCTTCTTAGCGGCAGTGGTCAGTTCCTGCTGTGAGTTCTGTAGAGATGTTGTCAGCTCTCCAACCTGGCATCATGAAAAGGCAGGTACTTTTTATTACACAGTACACACTTATACACTGGCAAAAAGAACAACAAACAGCTATGAATTTATTTTCTATTGTCTTATAATACGTGAGGTCCAGTCCACAGATAAGTAAGTTGATGTACAGGTGTGTATTTGTAACAAGTCTCAAGGAAGACAGCTACATCATTTGTAGGAGACCACATGTTAACTACTTCTGAATATTGCATGATGTTGTTTTGCCAACAGACCTGTGTTTGCAGCTCTTCCTTCTGTCGTCTGGTTTCTTCCAGGGCTTTGGCAATCTCTGTACTCACTGTCTGCCGACTGTTTAGCTCTGCCTGAGGGACACATTGAGGAATACAAACACACGCTACTTCCTCGCTTTTAGATAAACTATACATTCTATACAATGTGTAACATTCTGCTTGTAGTGTCTAAGCAATAGAATTTCCCTGTTTCTCCAAATCGTTACACACTTCAACATTGAAGAGTTGGAGCAAATTAATTTGGAAAATATAGACTGCCATTTAAACACAGAAATTCAAATAAGAATAAGAGTCAGCCACTCAATAAAATGTGAATATATGCAAAAAAAAACTAGCGCATTTTAGTTTTTACCTTGCATTGCTCCAGTTCTTCTGTCTGCTCCTTCAGAGTGGAGTTTACCTTGTCCATCTGCTTGTTCAGGTCAGCCTACCACACAAAAATAGGGAGCCAGAAGAAAACTAGTCAACATACGTAGGACAAACACTTGCCCCACTCTAGTTTCACTCTTGTTTCTCTATAATTATTACATTAACATGTTTTTTTCACAGCTAGCTTACTGCTTAAGCCTTTGGCTATTTTTTCGACATTCTACCTGAAAAAAGGTAATTGCTCCCCAACTGTAACGGCAAAAAGAATAACCATGGGCTTGTATAGAAAGGAATGGTAAATGGTAAATGTTCTGTTCTGACATAGCGCCTTTCTAGAAGTACTCAAAGCACTTTACAATGTTTCCCATTTACACATATCAAACCACCAACCTTGCTTACAGATATCCTTTCCTCAAACTGACATTTGGGAGAACTTTGCAACACATAAAGAGCCCCTATCCCCATTACCGGACAACAGTGACATCTGACAACTCAAGGTAATCAAAACTCTAAATTAAGATCAAGCAACAGCCTTATTACAACTAAGTAACTGAATGCTATTGAATTTGTTAAAATGATTCTGAACTCCACCAAAATTGATGCAACTGAAATTAAGGACAAGAATGCTACATCCATTTTCGTCACGGTAGGTCAATGCAGCTTCTCCAGTTCAGCCATTTAAAGCCCTTTTCAGACAGGGGACATAAACATTGCTGCTTCATCAATCCATTACACAACCCGAGGTGGAACCCTACCAGCACCACTTCCACATAGTATTGCATATTATACAAAAACCTGACAAACAAAATGAAAAGAGGGAAAATGAGAAGCAGCAAACATACCACTGTGTCAAGCAGTTTCTGTTTGTCTGTCTGTAAAGAAGTGATGCTTTCTTCCAGCTGGCTGACATTCTTCTGATTGTGCTGCTCTAACAAGCACACCTGCTGGTCCAGAAAGGCTTTCTCTTCACTCCACTCTCTTTGCTGAACAAAACATAAAAATGCACAATTAAACATATGCATACAAAAATTATCTTCAACTTATTTTTAACCAGATGAAAAAAATCCCTTTTTTACCCCTGAAAAGGGACTTGACTGCACACAACCAATGTGAAGTTTTTAATTGCAACATACTGTGGCTTTCTTTTATTTGCTCTGGTTTACAAACAGGTGCAGACTGTGGCTTAATAGCATAGGTTACTAAAGTCACTGTCCAGTCATTGAGTAATCCTCTAAAAATGAAAAGAATCAGTTCACCGCTTTAAAGTAGCTTGGATGAAACTGACATTTGTACACTACAGTTTCTAGGCAGAAATGCTCAGCCATAGCATTGACTGAACAATAATCAGCATACTCTATTATATGTCTTGGGAAAAGAAAGTATGTGGCAAGTTAAGTTTAGTATTTGATATTTTTCTTTCTCAACCAAAATTCTATGTAAATGACACTTTTACTGATACCAGGGCTGTGCTATGACAGAAATAAAATCCTGTTCTGCAAGTATGCATTTATTCATACACACAAGAGTTGCAGGACCAGAACGACTTCGCAAGAATAATTTTTTGACTGAATGATGAACACTTGTGACATTAAGAGCATTATGGGGCTGTGCATTGCTGTTTGCCAAATTTTTACCCTTGATAAAACCACCAGATGGCACCAAAGTCAAGCTCTTTTGCTATTACACATATTGGTTTCATTTGGCCATTTGCTGAGCAGACATTTTGACTTTTGTTTAACTAAAAATTTAGTGGATTAACCGTTTAATGATTGATAAACAACTGATTTAGTTTGGCATACATGACAATTTTGCATGCATTCAACCTTCCAATCCATATCTACCTAATCAAAAGTACAATGATTACTCTGTCCACACTTGCTGAAATATCAAATCTATTTCTGTCAACAACAAAAAAAAGATTAATTTTGTGCTCCGAATGCAAGTGGTACTTACCAGTTTATCAATGTGCTGCTGTTTCTCTGTGATTTGCTGCTCTGTGCTCTTCAGTCTCTCACTGCTCTCTAAAACTTGCTGCTCCAGGTTGGCTATCTGAAGAAGAACATAATACAGCGAATGTGCTATTAATGAATGAATGCTCCATGGGTCATATGTATCATTAACAATGTGGCATTATAAACCTGTGGAGTAACTTCAGTTTGATTTTCTAATCTCAGTTTTGAATCCCAGGGTAACCCATGACTTTGCAAAAGTGAGTGTGAGTGACAGTATTATTTTATCCATCTACTTCTTACAGCAAAGTGCGTGGTTTCTCACAACTTACTTGTGTGTCTGTTCTCTCCTTGTAGGCCCTGGAGGACTCATCTTTGTGTCGGAGAAGAGTCTGCAGCTCTGTAATACTACAGCTCATTTTGGATACCTGAGGACAGACACGAGACACATGTTAATTATATATTCTAGTATTGTGTTTATGTTTCCTATGATATCTTGATTTCTTAAAGGACCAACACCACATTTTTTGTTGACACTCTATCAAAGTATAGTACTAAAACTGAATTGAAAGTTAAAGTGACCAAACTGGAACAGGGTAAAATTAGGAATGAAAGAAGTCATACAAGTAAAAGGAATAAATAAAGGTACAGCTGTTTTGTTCCTCTGACCTGCTCGACTGGGTATGTGGGTGCAACACTTTGTATAGCTTGTAGTAAGACTGCATATTTGTGTCTGATTTGATGTGTTTAAATTATCACAGACCATTCCCCTAAACAATACATGGTGGACTTCTACTTCTAATTACCGCATTAGGTAATATTCTACTTCATGACCACAAGTTACATCTATTTATATCAGGTTTGCAGATTTGGTGCCCGACAGTGTCATCACTGCCATGTGTTAGCGCTTAGGGTTGACTGAATGCCCTGGTTTACCTGTGTCTCCAAAGAGCTGACAGTATCCGCATGGTTTGTCCGCACAGCCAGCAGCTCTGCTCTGGTCTCTTCCAGACTTTGCTCCAGGCTAGACTTCTGAAAAGGCATCAACAGCACTGATTAATGGGTGTCTGTGTCACTACTTCTTTTCCTTCTAATCAATATGATGCTTGAAAATAAAGTCTCTAGAACAGAAAGATGTTGTTTACATTATGAAATGTACATTTACCTCCTGGAGAAACTCCTGCAGATGCTCATCCTGGCTCAGGTTCCCTTGCAGCCGTCTCTCCAAGGAGGTTACTTTCTTCTGAAGGTCCACCAACAGTCGCTCCTTGTCTTCTTCCATCACAGCAGCCTGATGATAGATGGCAAACACGTTCAAAAACACGTAGGGAATCCAGGCTTTCTTATCGTTGAAACTATTAAAAACTTTTGAAGTTTCTCTTTAACTTTAAACCAAGGGTTATTTATGTTTTTTTTCCCCACAAGAGACTGAAATGGCATTTGAAACATCTGAAACAATCAATTATTTTTTTGTAATTTCACATTTATTTAAAACTCCCTACTATTTCCTCACAGCCCCAGCGAACTGATTAAACACAGTGATTATACTGGCTGGAATACAATCTTATTCTGTAATACTTAACAATTTGACTTGAACCTAGTTAGATTGTGATTGCTTGCCTTCCACCTTTAGCTACAGGAGATTATTATTATGATTATTATTATTATTATTATCATCATTATTATTGATCAAGTGAACTGCTCTTTCTGTTCTGACCTTTTGCTGTTGCAACTTCAGGGCATCATGTTCAGTCTGTAATTCATGAAGGGACTTGTCTAAAGTTGACGCCATAATCTGCGACTGAAAAACAATATTTCACAAAACATTTCACATTTTAGCAGAAAAGTTAATGAATGATCAGTGCATTACAGTTTAGCATGTGCAGTTTGTATGCAGGACTGACCTTCTGGAAGTCTTCAGAGACCTGCTGGATAACTGACTGCAGCTCCTGGCATCGTCCCTCCAGCTCACTGATCTTCTTGTCTGCCTCCTCTCTAAGCAGCAGCAGTTCTTCTCTGTACAAATCCAATAAGATGCACTTTGACTTGTAGCACTCATTCACAATAATAATAGTCCAACAACAAATGTAGTCTTATTTGTAGAACAGGTGATAGGGTATTTAACGTCTTATGTTTGGCAACTTTAAAGTTTGCAGGCAAATCCTGTGTAATTTTGGGGAATGTGGTTTGCAATTTTAATTATTTTTAATTGCCTGGGAATGTTAACACAGAAAGTTGACCAAAAGACTCCCACCTTTAAAAACTCCGAATTATGGTATCATATCATGAAAAAACTTTCATGCTGCTGCCTGTTGCAGTCCCTCTTACCGCTCTATTTCAAGCTCAGAGTTGAGTCTGCAGCTCTCCTCATGCTGCTGTTCCAGAGCCTGGAGTTTCCTCCGAGCTTCTGACAGTCCTCGTTTTGCTGATTGAACTTCAGCCTCTCTTTGCTGAATCTCTCGCTCCTGTTGGCTCAGCAACTCCTCCTTCCTCAGCAACTGATGGGCATAAATGGGTAATAAATCACAATCCGCAAATGAGCCATGTGCTAAAAATGTAAAGCTATGAACCCAAGTTACATCAAATCACATCTCAAGTGCTTTCAAACATATTTAGTGCCAAAGAGAGTCTCCTTTCCTACACAAGGCACATAGACAGCACTGAGTACAAAACGTAGTTCTTTAAATGACCACCGATCCTTTCTGACTTTTTTCCAATTTCCATTTTAAATGAAAAATGTCATGAAAAAAGTTCCAAGCTCCACATGTACGCACCATGTGCTTAACTTTAGCGAGCTCCTGCTGCTGAAAGCCCTCCAGTTCATCCAGGTCATCTCTTTTCTGGAAGAGTGCTAAGCTTTGTTCCATCATCTCCTCTAGCCGGGCTGACATGGCAGCCTTCTCCTAAACAAACACAACAGCTATATTAAAGCTTTATTCCGTTGCATTGTCCACTCCATCCATGCAGGTTTCAAGAGCAGAACTTTAAACTCTTCCAGTGGAGTTTTTGAAATTCTGTAACACTATGGAACTGTTTTCTAAGGTTACCTCCACACTAACATGTTTTCATTTCAAAACAGCGTTTTAAAAGGAAAACGTTCTCCATCCAGACAAGCATTCCACCTCAGTTTCAGAAATAATCGCTGTGCAGACTAGAATGCCCAAGAAGGCATACCATATGACTATTCAGGTACAATGGGTATGCAGGTGCTGGTGTAAGCATGAAGCAGGGGGTTGGGTGTATAGTAGTAGAAAAAACTGAAGAAGCAATGGCAATGGCAAAAAGGAAGACCAAAGATTTCCTTAACTGCACAACAGTTGCTAGCAGAGACAAAAAGGTCAGCAACAAGTGTAATTCAATGTCCACATTGAATTGACCACGAGTAGACGAGGCTGATGTCTTAGTCCTCTTACAGCAAACAATCATGTGATGTGAGCGTGATGAATCAAGAAACACACGTGATAGTACAGTCCAATCAGACAGTAAATGTGTGTCTGTTGTCTAGGCTAACACACCTCTGGAGTTTTAAAACTAAATCAAGGTCAGTTGCATTTCCAAAGGTCTCCATTTTAGGGTTCGTACAACTTCAGAGTAGTGTGGACACTTGGCATGAGCAGAAGCTTCAAATTTCATTAGCAACCAGACACTGCACAGTAGTGACAAATGTGACAGTAGAGATGTGATATCAAGGACCTCAATACCAAACAGCTTAGATGTGAGGGATGTGAGGGATGTGAGGGACTTTTTTATCCTTCGTGTTTGATACAACCAGGAGTTCAATTTAAATATCTTAAATTTGCAAAACGGATTGCAATTCAGTTATACATGATTCAAAACAACATTGAATACTGATTTAAAAACTTACCTTTTCTACACTGGCCATCTTCTCCATCCATTCCTACGGGTAAAGGATAGGAAGAGGTAAGTACACAAGCAATAAACCAGCACTGTTGAGTAATAATAAGTGAGAAAGAGTGGTATTGACCTGATCCTTCTTTTCCAAAGCCAAAGTCATCCCCTCTGCCATTTTGGCTCTGCTGACCTGATGAGATTCATTCTGGTCTTGAAGTTTCTTTATGGATGCTGAGCAGTAAAAGTGAAAGAGAGAGACAAAGAAAGGGAAATATGGAAACCATACAGAAAGGTTTGTATGCAAAAAAATAAATAGATAAATAATAGAAGTTTTAAATAGCAACAGATAGTGGAACTGTTAGTAGCTGTGAAAAAGAGTCAGATTAAGAAGTGCGTTCATCCCAGAAGCAAAAACAGGCAAAGACAAGCGATGCATGGCAACTGACAAAAAACTAAAACGCAGTAAAGCTACTATCTATAAAACATCACAAGGAAAAATGCCCATCAAAGTTTCCTGAACACCAAGGTAATGCCATTATTCTTGTTTTGTTTGAAAAACAGTCCAATACCCTAAAGATTAAGTTTTCTTTACTATCAAACTCACATAAGCAAAGATTTTTCACGTGAAAATGGCTGTAGCTCAGATTTCATGCTTCAGAGGTGCTAGTCCCATAAAGTCCATTAAAAAATAGTGGAGTGGTAAAAAGATGTTTGTGACTCTGAAAACAAACCAACAGCGGACAACAGGGTAGGCAGATTGTGGTCTTCTTTGTCTGGATGGACTTGAGGTCATGTAGTCCTCAAAAAGACTGGTACTCAGGACTATAAATACACTATGAAAAGCAAATCCCAACAATATCAAACAGACACTCTGACATCACAAAAACTGACCAACATATAAATAATAATTCCATCAAAGAGGTGGATAGACCAGTTTCTTCACTGGTAGTAAAGACAAGGAGACCATAGCGCAACTCCACTATAAGACATATTGATATCCAAATATTGTGTGTGGCTGTAGTAAATACCCAAATGTTCACAGACAGTGCTAAAGTAGCGAGTGAACTTCAGTTTTGGTCTAAAAATCAAAATCACATCTTTGGGAGTTGCTGCCACACTTTGTAGGAAACAGGACACGTGTGTGACGTTTATTAAGTCACATAAAAGTGTGGGGGGAATTGAGGGCAGAGAACCAGATATTGTGTACATAACTCTAAAGTCAATGTGCTGAACAAATACCAGTGTAGAAGATGAGAGGATGGATTTTTAGATTAAAAGGAAAAAAAAAAAACATCCAGCACTCCAATAGAAATCCTTTAAAGCCCATGATATTAGCATCTGGAATCAAAAATATCTTAATGAGAGGAAGTGATGATGCACAGGTTATGGTTATTAGAGTGGACAGACAGTTAAAAGAAAGGAAGCTAGTTGGGAGGAGAGTAGAGGTACGTACAATCCTGATGCCTTTCTAATGCAATTTCAAGCTTGTCCTTGGTCTTCTGCATAATTCGTAGCTGCTCAGCGTAGTCTGGTGTTGGGAAGTAGGATGATGGGATGGGGTATCAACAACACACACACACGCACACACACACATTCACACACACACACACACACGAACACGTACGCACGCACATGTGCACACATGCACACACGTACACACGCACGCACGCACGCACGCGCGCGCACACACACACACACACAGAGAACACAACACAAACAACAATGGGGAGCAGGTAGATGACAGTCAAGAGAGGCAGGGAGGAGGTGAACAAAAGGAGAGGGAGAAAACAAAAGGGAAAACATGGTTGAGAAATAATGGAAAGTAAAACAATTAATGATTTTCTTATCTGAGAAAACCATAGTAGTTTAAAGGCAGCATGAGAATATGCAACCTTTAACCTTTACTAAGGGTGCAACGTCACTAAAGCCACCCAAAAGAAAGGCACTAATGCACTGAGAAGAGGAGGGGGGGACAGTCTAAAACTAAGAATATTTTACGTCGTTTTCACCTGAAATAAACACACCACAAACATTGAAACAGTAACAAATTATCATCGTCATTCTGAGACAAACTATAATCACAATTAACAAAACAAATAATGGCTAACACCCTCTTTTTACAGCATGTAGAGCATAGTTAGGTTTAGAAAGAAATCAGCCATTCTGCTTTAAATTCAAAACAGGAGAGGGACACTGCTCTTCTAAGGCAACCACAGCTCAGCTTTCACTGGTAAATTTAAATGGTTGAGAGAGTGAAGGGCCAAATAAACTTAATAATCTGTATTTGTAACACTATCACAGCTAACCTGACATTGATATCATGATGCATGCCATTTCTGATAAGCTGCCACTATCTTGCTGTGAAACTGACTCACTTAAGCTTAGAATCTAGCTCTCAGGCAAAATTACAGCAAACTGAACTGAAGGCAATGAATCAATCAGGCTCACAAAGTGTTGCAGTTGTGTCACAGAAAGATAAAAGCTAGACTGACTCTGTAATGCACTCTAAACTACAACACTTACTCAAGCATTTACATCGTCCAGCTTTCAAACTAGTTACTGACAGAATTTTATCACATTTCTTTGGCAAAGACAGATTAAGCTGAAGCTGCTGACAGGCTCCTAGATTTAGAGGCAATCATTCTAGGCGTACCTAAAAGTAATACTACCAAGACCAATGTTTTATCCAATATAGTGCCTATAACATGGATAAAATTTGTCGTAATTATTCTATTTGTCTGTTTCCATAGGTGTTCACATGGTTATTCCCGTGTGGTTAAACTCATCATTATCAAATTTCTGAAGTGCTTCTGTTCATGATGGGTAGGACTGTTTGCAGAGCAGCAGACAAAGTAAAACTACCTGTATTTTACTGTGCTTGATGTTTGTCTAAAGGCAACATGCTGTGAACTGATAGTTTATTACATCATTAATAGACAAAATATTAGTGTAAATTATTGATCAACACTGTACTTAGATTTTAGGTTAATGTATTAGCCCTCTGTGAGATAATAATCATGTGAGTTAGAAAAAAAAATCAGATGTTCTTTCACTGTCCAACAGTTGGAAGAGGGTGTATCACTTGCAGCCCTGTGCACTGTGGTACATGGTGCACTTGAGTTTAAATGCAACTGTTTCTGAGTACTGATCTCTCCGGAAAGCCTCAGGCTGACTCATTTAACTTGCTTAACGTTAGTCTAACTTGTCCTACCTGATAGCTTGGCCTCCAGCTTCCTGATCTGATCGTTTCTTCTGAGGAGCTGGGCGGGCAGGTCATCCCTGGAGCTGCTGCCATCAGATGCCTAAAGATACACAGAGTATTACAGAGCTGCAACAAATCATCGAATGAACAGTAAGACGATCAACAGAAAGTTGGTGAGCAACTATTTTAATAGCTGTCTAATGATTTTATTGATTTTCCAAACAAAAGGATCAAATATTCTAGGGTTTCAGCTGCCCTAATGTAAATGTTTGCTGCTTTCTTTCATGTTATACAAAAGTAAACTAAAAAAAAAAAAAAACAACAAACAATATTAGCATCCGCACTGAGAAAATGTCAATTGAAAGAGTTTGAACATTTTATAGACCTACAAGTATTAAATAACAAGTTAATTTTAAACAGTAAGAAATCGGTAAGTTGTAAGAGATTAAGCATTTTAATGGTAAGCATTGCTCTATTTGCTACGTCTCGAATCTAATGATCCATCCGAATTCCCTGGACATCATTTATCAAATCCAACATCTGAAGTTTATCCTTGATGTTTTATATCACCGAAAGATGCTCTGTAATCTTATTGCAGAGTTGCTATGCTACAGATCCCACCATACCATATCATGTCATTGGTATTTAGCCAGTGGGCTGCAAGAAAACCATAAGTATATGAAATGGATGATGTGCAAACAAGCAGGATAAACTGTGGCATACAGACTACTATGTTGTCGTCCTACCAAAATCACAATGTCACATATCGGCTAGCAGTATTGTTACTCGGCCACTTCACTAAATTATTTAGGAAGTGCAACTGAGACAACACCACAGCCTCAGGAGTCTGGCCCTGCCAGTGAGAGATGACACCATCTTGTTTGCACCAATGAACAGAGCTTTTACACAGATATGGATTTTATTTACAAGCATTGAGAGCAACATTGGTCTTCAAAACAATAAGGGAAGAGCTAGACAAAACTGTCACTGCATGCATGCATGCATGAACGCACTGAAGAAGGTCCAAATAAGCAGCCATACCAATCAAACAAAAAGAAAGATAAAATAAACTCTGACTATGTTTTGTGATGACACAAAAAGGGAATCTGTCATGCAGAGCTAAATACTGAACAGCAGCTTGGCCTTAAGACAAAGTAAAACATGGAACGACCCAATAGTCAGAGGGTTAGAACACAAACCATATGAGCACATACACTCTGAGCGATGGATCTTCCATTTGATTCCCGACTGGCCAGATCATTTGTTGCACATCATTCCCCTGCTCTCACCCTGTTTTTCTCACTTCACTGTCTGATCAAAGAAAGGCTAAAAATTCTTTTTTTTCTTTCTTTCTTTCTTTTTTTTTTTAAATAGAAAATAAAAACCAACTAACTAAAACTAACACCTGACTATTTATTTAACTCCAGCCAGCTACTTCCATATAGGAATTTCTGATTCAAGTAAAATAGGTTTGAATAACAAGTTGCAATTTGCTGTGTGTACATTTTAAGACCACTAGCTGTCATTTTTAAACATGCAAACATAATAATAAAGAATCATGATTATGTGTCTGTACCACAGCAGTGTCCTGCCAATAGACAACAGAGGATCATCTTTAGTGTTTGATAAATATTAGCAGAATAACTGATGAAACATTACAAAATGCATTGATTGCACAGACATTTTCATTAGACAGAAAACAACAGAAAACACTGGTGGCTGAAACAGGACGATTGTGCAGTAAGCAATAAAATGTTAACTGAAAGCACTGCTGGGTCAGAATACACTACACATACACTTATGGGCTTAATGTAAGAATTTATGCTTTTTTACACTGCGCTTTATACAGCTAAAGGAGATTAGAAGTTGAGATGATTCAGTGGATTCACATGATTTGAGTCAAGTGATTCACTCTAGTTATTTTTGGTGCTGGTTGATTTTCTACATAATTGATTACCAATATGTAGGGCCAAATAAGACAAGGGAGCAAAAACGTGTTCCCCTTAAATTAACATTGTGTATTTTGGTTGAATAACAGTACATTTACACTTCTAGTAAGACAACACATTCACAATCTAACCAGGTTTAATGACTCTTATTACAATCAGTTAGCAGTAGGTGTGGTTTTAAACATTACAGATGTTTACAAACTGTGTGAGCTAAAATGTATGTGAAGCCTAATTTTCACATATTTCACTGTATATCTACAACCAGGTAGACAACCTCACAAAGCATATGAAAAATTTAGATCAGTGTAGATGATGGAACAAGGGCATAAGAATGTACAAAAGGCCACCAAATTTGGGCTATTGCATCAAAAAATTCTGGCTACTCCATATCCTTGTTGAAAGCCCTGAGTGTCCTGCTTACACACACTAAGTACAAAAGAGACCAACCCACTAAGTCATCCTGGTTTTATAATAATAGCACTGCCCAGGTGGTTACTACTTCAAAAGTCAGCCGAAGTTTCGAAGATTACCTTGACCTCAATTTCCGGGACTTTTCAGTGACTTTCAGAGTGACACATGACATGTAACAAATGATGATGGAACATCATCCATCCATAGTCCCTCTGTTACTGCTGTATTTAACTGTCAACAATGAAACAGCAGAACAAAAACAAAACCATTGTCTTCATAGTTAATTTCACAAGAGAATTAATCAAATGTCTGCCTTTTCATTATCATGCAAGCAATGACAAAAAATGGCTTTAAGGCTTTCATGTTTTAGTGATAAACTGCTGACGTTTGGTTACTATTAATTACCTATTAATTTCATAATTAAATTTAAATGCTTCTTCTTGAGAACATTACTGAAAGATGCTATACTAATCACAACTTCATATTGGCAGTGATGGAGATTGGTGGTAAAAGGCTTTAATGCTGCCACAGAGAGGATTACTAATGCTGCTGGACCACAGCCATCAGCATCAACAGAAGCTGATAGAGAATCTCTGACATTAAGACAACTGGCCTAAATATTACAGTGCTGCCACACGGGGGACACACAATCATCATTCCAAAGCTGGTAATGTCTTCACCTTCTAAACTAAATCACTACTTATTTTCAATTAAATCCATAAAAATATTGTTAAGTGTGCAATCGTTCATCCAAGCAGTGTTTGGTCATGCACTAGAAGTATAGCAAAACATTTTTAAAAAACACATACACAAGAAGAAACTGTGAAACATAACTCTAGTGATGATTTCACAGTACTTACAAAGTCATCCCCTGAGTCTGCCCCCACTGAGGTGATGGATTCCTTGCTGATGGTGCGGGGTATACGAACACCACTCTTTGGTGCTGTGGCCGCCTCCTCTGCAATCTTCTTCTTCAATTTGGCAAACATATTGTTCCTTTCAATGTCACTTTCTTAGTGCAATTTGCAGCCACGTCTTTATGCAGCACCAGTTTAAAGAGCTTTGCACTGGTATTTCCATTCTGCTACATCTAGAAAAAGAAAAGAGACGGTTAATAAAATGCCAAGATTGATAACAGTAGCAATCTCTTTTTTTAACAATCCTATGCTACATTGTTGTAATCTAGTACAGTTTTTTTTTCCCTGGCATCTATTCTTGGCATGATATAATTAGTGTGCTATTTTGACATATCAATGACAGCAGTAAAAAAATGGCTGTGGTTGTTTAATCTGTCTGCTAAAGGCCACTTCCAGCTGTTTTTAGTACTGATAAATTTATTTATTTTTAATCAGTGTTTGTCAAACACACGTTACAACTGCTTGCAAGACAAAATGTTTCCAACAGTTGTCCGATAATTCCGGTTACACCAAGCAGATGACAACCTTCTGAATACCTCTGTTGTCATGCAAACTGCACCAGACTTTTTAATGTTTGTCACTACAAGATGTGTTGTTTGTAAAGTTCCGAAAATCTAATACTGGAAAAGGGATTATCAAAAATAAATGCACTGAAAAGCAAAACCAGATTTTGACAAAGCCTTCTCAGAATGTGAAACTAAATATTTTTCCATGGTTGGGCTCGAATGTACCGTTCACTAACTCTACATTCTAGCTAAACTGTGAATGGCTTCGGCCATATATTGCAAAAGCTAAGTGTGTCTAATCAATGTTCATGCAATTATTTAATGCGTAATTACTCTGTCAGACTATGTTTTGACATATAGCTAGCCAGCTAGCTCTCTTAGCCTTAACAATGACAGTCAACGTTACCACCACCGAGTAATGTTAGCTATCGTTAGCCGGCTAGTTAACTGGAGTCGCCTTTCTCTTACCATAAAAACTTCGAATAAAATATCCGTCCTTGGCGATTTCAGGGTGCTCAATGACTGTACGATTGCTATTTCTCCGCACACTCAAATACAAGTACAGCTTTGGCAGTCGGTCGGGGTACCAGCTCGCTACTGTCTCGCCTCACAAGCTAGAAGCTGCTCGTTGGTGAGCTACACGTAATCAGCCGACACAGATGACTGACGACGTCACGGCGAACCCGCTGCTCATTGGACGGAAGAACTGAGTGGAGCCGCAACACGCGCCGCCTACAGGCAGAAAAAGCAAGTAGCAACAGTTTTACACCACGCGCATGAATTATTTCCTAAATAGTTGCTACATTTTAATTATTTCATGCTGAATACTTGAGATTTCATACCAGCGTGGATGACTGTCCCACTCAAAGGATGTGCAAAAGTTGTTTTTTAAACTGAACTAAAGTGAAAACAGCTTATGTGCAGTCTATGAGAGAGGAGGGTGCAAGCCACCAAAATGTCCCCTTATAGTAATTGCATTACTTCCAAGTTAAACAGTAGGCTTTTGGCTCTTGTGTAAAATTAAAAACTAACAGTTTGGATTAACTATATTAAAAATACAGGTCCCACTTAGGAACTCAATGCAACTGAAGTACACCTCTCCCTACTGAAGTTTCAATCTTTTTTTAGGACTTCATATGTCCACCTTCATTTATGATGAAAGACTCAGTCTTCCTCTGCATGGAGAATACCAGTATGGCACAAATATCTGGAAAGATTTTGTGTCTTGTGTGATTTTGGCAGCGTGGTTACGGATAGTCCTGTCCTTTTCCATCTTTGTAAAGTTTTGCAATCAGTTCCTCTTACATTTCTTTTCCATGTGGAGCCATGATGCAGACATGCATATAGGCACAGCACATAGGTCCAAAAATAATGTGCTCACAGACCATTTTATAACAATGTCCGTGCAGTTAGGTCAATTGGAAATCACAAATGTTCTGAATTTTGTGTCAGTGATCAGAAATGTATTTGTTTTTGTTTTAGTGAGTCTACTTTGGGGCCTGTGTTTTCACTATCGTCTTTCACAAGTTTGTTTTTGACTATTCATATGAGGAAATTTTCTATTTATTAACTTAGAAAGAATGCACTTATCGAGGGAAGATACAATTTGTAATAATTTTGCATTGAAGTGATTTCACACAGGGGCACACTCACTTCTACTGTATTAACAGTTTCTCTAACCAGTTCACTCTTATTGCTATGGACATTTCTCCAGAAGCTGTGTGCCTAAAATAAATGCTTTCTTTCATGTTGGATTATTATTGCAAAGTCTGAAAATTATTCGCTCATGTCAAATGACACCCAAAAGTTGAGGCAAACACTATTTTCTTTGTCTTTTTCTCTCAAACCTTTTTATTCTATTTCTACATCAGGAAATTGTCCAAGCTACAGTTTCACAAATGAAGGTTATTTTGGAGTTTATTAAATGATGTGTTCCACTAAATCCATCAAGAATTGAGGATCGATGAACTAATTAAAAATAAATAGTACTAACCTTGAGACCGAAATGATTAATCTTCAGTCAAAAGAAAGCTCCTCATTAATACATTTGATAATTATTGTAATTTTCAAGCAAATATTCTTAACATTGGCTGATTTTAGTAACAATGCTGGTCATTAGGGTGCGAGCACCCAAAGTGGGTGCGAAGACCCTATTGGAACTGCTTGGGTTTATTATTATTTCTTTATGACAATGAAACGCGTTTTTGAGGTACACAACGTAATCACACTCTCACCAAACTCGCCACACACATCAGACCCAGCGAAAAATTTTATAATTAGGGGTAAATACTCACCTCAATAGCAAAATGGTTTAACAGCGCCCCCTACAAAATTACAAAAAATGGGCCCCTGAACACGGCCATTTATGGCCGATTTCAAAATCTATCTCCTCCTAGGGGGTAAGTCGTAGACACTTGATATTTGGCAAGCACAAAGTACATGATGTGGTGATTAAAAGTTATCAAAACGCTCCGCAAAAGTCTGATGGTTTAGAAATGGCGGCCCGTGCAATATTGATCAATGGCCATTTTGGCCATTTTTTTGGTGTTTTTGGCATTCAACGGAGTCCCGTCGGAAGGCCGTTACATCTACACCTACAAGATTGGGTGGGGATGTGTAGCAGGTCAGGACACACAAAAAAGTTAATTGGCGCCAAGCCCTAAACTCAACAGGAAGTCCGCCATTTTGAAAAAACATGGTCAGAATTTTGCGATTTTGGCTCATTTTGGGCCATTTTTAGCCATTTTCAAAATCTGTCTCCTCCTAGGGGGTAAGTCGTACACATTTCAAATTCGGTCAGCACAAACTACACGACGTGGTGAATAAAAGTTAGCAAAATACTCGACAAAACTCTGATGGTTTGGAAATGGTGGGCCGGGCAATTTGCATCAATGGCCATTTTGCCCATTTTTTGGGTGTTTTCGGCATTCAACGGGGTGCTGTCGGAAGGCCGTTTCATCTACACCTACAAGATTCGGTGGGCATGTGTAGCAGGTTGGGACGCACATCGACTGTCTCAGTCGCACTCCCGCGAGAAGTGAGGACCCGACCAATGCCGCTTGCGGCTTTAATTTTTGTTTTGGACTGTAAAATTAAAGAATTTTCTCATTAAAATAAACAAAATGCTTATGACTTTTCAAAACTTGCCTATACATTATGACAGTAACATAAGCTACTGTAGTCTTTGTAGACATGTGAGACAAACACAGACACTCCAATACAAAAGCTACCTTGACAGTTACATACCGTACAAACCGGAGAATACAGTACGTCAACTGGCACGATCTGTTTCTTTATGTTGGTTTTTATGCCATTAATAGGGTGATGCTTGAAGATCATAGTATTTAATATTGAATATCACAAGCTATTTTCTGATCAGGCATCAAATCATTGTTTTCCCCTCACCAATGTAATGATTTTTCATAGTTCTTTAATTAAAAACAGAGTGGCAACACACAGAAAAATAATAATTACAAGAGCTGATTCCAAACCTGGAAATTACAGAGAATTTTTAAGGTACCACAGTTTTAACAATACTACTAATACATAGTACATATCAGCTCTCAGGTTTACATGTTTATTTATAAGATCACATAATAACACTAAATGTGTAACTTCATTGAAACTTGTCAGAATAGATGTCATTTTTGCTTTCGTGCAGTGCTTTTCTTATCTTACAAACAGTAGATACATTACCATACCAAATTAAAATGGAACATTCTAGAACACTGCATGTGCAATTTGCTCAGCAGTGAGTTTTCACTATAAAGTGAAGTGGAGATTTATAAATACTAACATTTTACAAAGGTCAGTTGATTTTTTTGTCTTTCCTCTAATACAACAGTAAGGTGACAATGCTCAGCAAGCTTACTTTGCTGTAATGATTTCAGCTTCAGAGTGATGGCATTAAATGCACAGAGCGGGAATAGCAGTTGAGAGTTGGCACCAAGAAAAGCACTGTAAATACTCTAAATGTATTGTACAAAATATATATGGGTTCACAAGTGCTGATGCCACTGTCCCAGTCATTATCTGTACACTGAACAAATGGCTGCGCTACGTCAGCTTGAATGTGCTTACAGGAAATAAGGTGTTGTTGTTCGGGGTGGAATGACTCTTTCAGAGTCAGGCACTGCTCTGAACAGCTTTGGCTCTCTTGTGTTAGCATCTTTGAATACCATGATGGAGGCAATGTTGCCACAGCGGTAGCAGTAGTTGGGGGCCGACCACACTGTGACCAACTTCTCGTCAAACATGAACTTGTAGCCTTCATGGACGAGTTGATGCGCCCTGCAGATCAGCTTCAGGTTGTTTATGTGAACAAACTTCAGTTGTTGGAATACACAGGGAAAGAAAGGAAGGAGAAAAAGAGAAAAAAATGTTAAAACCCCAAAACACAGCTAAGGTGAATACACACAAGTTTTTCTCCTTTGCCTGAATTACATCTTTTTCACTTGCACACTGTCTTGTTGCAATCTTGGACAGTGCAGTCTATAAGGAAACTATTTACAATTTTATTACTGAAAATAAAATACAGCAGATATTGCTAATTTATCAGTTTCAGACACTGAGTGATTACACGGAAGTGCCACTGCATGTGCTGTCAGGTTTTTCTCCAGACGAAATTGTGATTGTAGAGCCAGGCTAGTGGGACATGCTTTGAAACACCACATACAACAAGAGCAACACTTTTGCTTAACAATAAACAAATATTACAGACACCGCAGTACATGGACAAACAAGTCAAACAACAATTTGAGGTAGAGAAGTACTAGAGAGATTTCCAGAGAGGTAGGGACTTCATAGGTCTGTGCATTCTAAAGGAAGCACCAGTGTAGAGTTACGGGAGGGGGATACACAGAACTTTGGTTGTATAATTATTAATATTATTAGTAGTAGTAATGCAATCAGTGACCAGAGAGGGAGTTTAGCTATGCATCAATGGACAGGAGGGGGACTAGTCCAGGTCCACTGTCAGAATTAATGTAGTCCACAATCATGAAGTGGTTTCTGATCATTTTTTTTTTACTAAAAATCAACAATTAAAAAAAAAAAAGCAAATCTGTGTATTTCTATCCACGACAATGTTGCAAACATTAGAAAATGAACAACTGGTGAGTTTTTTTTTCCTGGTGGGTGCAAATAAACCAAAACAGAAGATTAAAAAACATTATGCAGTTGAAAAACTCTCTAGTCAAACCTCAAACTGTAGGAAACAACAAAGGAAATATGACTTTTCTACCACTGTTTTGTCTCTGCGATGGAGGGGAAGCTTCAGAGACTGTTTAAGTCACAAGCTTCATATAGGTCTACATATATTTGCTAATTCTGTCTCCACTGCAGTATTCCACATTTTGCTTGTATTAATGCACCAACTTTTCTATGACAGTCAAGTACAGAAATCTTTTTCGAAATCTGAAACATGAGGGGTCTAGGGTGCTTTGTGGACTTTAAGCATCTACACTATTAGACTATATTTTACTATTTAGTGGGTGCAAAGAGTAAATGGTACATATTTTTTAAACGCTTAATGAAAGTAACATTGCAATTAGTAATAAGGAACTGCACAGGACAGAACATTTTAAACTTGAAATTAACTCCAAAGTTACTGTTTCAGTCATATAGTTTCATGTAATTAATTAATATGATTATTTATTAGATACCGTTTGTTGTTTTGTTTGTTTGTTTTTTTCAGAAAAAAAAGTTACCTAGGCAGGTTCCCAGAAATATGCTGATATGCTGGGCACTTCACTTTGTACAGCATGTTTCCATTGGAAAAGATTATAAACACAATAAAAGCAGGGATGGCTTTATGATCTAACAAACCTAACCTTAATGTACACAAGTAAACGTTGTAAGTAAGTTAAAAAAAAACAAAAAAACTACCTCATTTGTAACCTTTGCACCAAACAGCCAGCCAGCTCCTCTGGGGCTGATGGCCCAGGTATCCACGTCTTCAGGGTCTGACCACACCAGGTCACAAAACGCTCCTTTGTGAGGGATCTCCTGATTGCGTTCAATGGTTCGAATTTGGTCTAGGGTCTTTATGTCTGGAGAGAGGCCCCCGTGGACACACAAGATCTGCTCATCCATCAGCTGACAGAAAACAACAAAAAACAGAATTGTTAGGAAATGGCACACACATTTTACTTATGATGAAAACTGGGAAAGCCTGATGAGGTGGGGTCTAAACTTTTGTCTGGGGGGACAACGGGCATGCATTAGAAGACAACTTCACATTTGTAAGACTGAAACATTTATACTGTAATCTGCTGTGTTAAATGAAACTGTAGAAAGTTGTAAGATGGAAAATAACCACTGACTACTGTAACACTTCAATACTTACAGCCGCAACTGTTAGCATATCGAAGACTTTTGTGCAATACCGCCAGGCATTGGCATTTCCATATTTGGTCTGGCACTCATCTGTAAGACAAAGTGACAAAAATGCGATGAGTGATCAGGAAGTTGGCAGTTGCAGATCATCAGAATACATAAATTACATCTCACCATAAAAGCCATAAACTTGGGTGATCTGCCTGCTCTCGTGGTTTCCACGAAGAAGCGTGATGCGGTCGGGCCATTTGGCTTTTAGCACCAGCAGGTAGGTGAACGTCTCCAAGCTGTAATATCCTCGGTCAACAAAGTCGCCCTACAGATGACAGAGGGTTAATACAGATGCTGTGCCAAAACAATGTATTAAAAGAAAACATTGAGACTGATGCATTTTAAGTTCAAACTCATATAAATAAACCCACCATGAAGATGTAATTTGTGTCTGGAACCTGGCCACCGGTTCGGAAAAGTTCACAGAGATCATAAAACTGCAATGCAAAGAGATAAAAATTTTGTGCAATAATTGCATATCTGTACAACAGGCAAAAACTAGAACTATGTTAAGATGTTGCATGATGTGATTACAGTCACATTAACAGTGCTGCATAGAAATACAAGGATGTTTTTGGACACTCGTTTTACCTGTCCATGTATGTCTCCACACACTGTTACAGGAGTAGAAACAGGCTGAACGTTGGACTCCTCCAGCAGAAGATCACACACATAGTCACATAACCTCTGTATAGATTAAATAATAGCACACAGACATAAGCGACAGGGCTTCAGCTGTATTCATTGCTTTTAAATTAGACTTATTTCATAACAAAATTGTGAGAATTCAATTAACTCTGTACTTAACATGATATATAGATGGGTTTTCTACATAAAATAATAGAATAGAATAATAGAAATAAAATAGAGAAGAAATCTGTTTATATTTGAACTAAATAAAATTAAAAAAAATATATATAAGGCTCATAAATGAGATCAAGTCATTCTGATTGATTTAAAACATTTCAGTCACAATAAATGGCCTGCAATCAGTTTTTTGCAATTAGAAACTTGCATTATATGAGTTGGTCTGGCAAAAACAAGTGGAGTAGTAAGCTATGATAATGTAGAGCACAAATCAGGTAAAATCATGCAGAAGCACCCACGGGTGGATATCAGGTTTTGGTTTTGGCAAACTTCCTTTTTTGGCACAGCACGGATGACAAACATGGGTTATAAACATTGAGCTGTCAACCCAGCATCAACACAGCTAGCATCATCTGATTGCGGTTTGAACGTCGGGAGATAAAAAACGTATCAAAGCAGGTCATTCTCACCCCTGCCCCCAAATCATTTGCTAGGACAGCTGGACTTGTCTTGTGCTGCAGCAGCTAAGCTGAACTATAAACGTGAAGGTTTAGACTTCACTGCAAAGAGATGAAGTCGGCAGGCTAGCATCACTAGCTAGCTGAAGCTAACGTAAGCGAATTACGCCGTTACAACGTAAAACAGCGACGACAAAACGTTGTCATTATAAGCTTAGTATTTGAATTTCTCACGAACATCTCGATGAAGTCGTATTTACCTTGAGGTCATTTTCTGGAAGGTATTTACACTGTTTTGCAATCTCCGCATATTTATCCAAATCTAGAGGCGCCATTGTAGCTAGATAGTCTAGCTGCGCAACTTCCTGCAACACTTCAGAGGAGCTGAGGCACAGCGCCTCCTACCGGAGCTTCAGCGACCTCACAGGTACCCGCCTCATAAACACACAGCAATTATTTTGGAGCTATTCATATGTGAACTCGCACACACAAGGAATTTGACATGGTGAAGGAAACTGTGTTCCACTACAATAACAAGACAGGCAATAAATGTAGAAATCTAAGATATTTTCAATAAAATACTATATGTAAAAGAAAAGTAAAAAAAAAAAAAAAACTATATAGAGACAGTAAAAGTACTGTGAAAAGAGACATAAACTTGCCTAAACCAGAGTAATAAAATAGAAAACAGTTTAAATTACAATAGTGCACATGAAATTGAAGAATTACACATGTAATGATAATGCACAGAGGTAGTGCAACAGGAGTCTTAAATGATTTACATATTGACTGTTCATGAGGGATATGGCCTGAGGGAAGAAGCTACTCCGGTGCCGGGATGTTCTGGTGCTTAGAGACCTGAAGCACAGGTCAAAGAGGTGATGACCGGGGTGGAAGGGGTCCGTGAGGATTCTTCCTGCCCTTTTCCTCACTCTGGAGGAGTACAGGTCTTGGAGGGAGGAGAGAGGGGCACCAATGATCCTCTCAGCAGTCCTGACTGTCCGTTGCAGTCTCCTCTTGTCTGATTTGGTAGCAGAACCAGACAGTTAAAGATGAGCACAGGACAAACTCAGTGACTGCTGAGTAAAATTGTGGCAGGTTGAACTTCCTCAGCTGGCGGAGGAAGTACAGTCTCTGTTGGGCCTTTTTCACCACAGAGTCTATGTGGGTCTCCAAGCTCAGGTCCTGGGAGATAGTAGTGCCCAGGAACTTGAAGGACTCCACAGCGGCCACAGTGCTGTTCAGGATGGTGGTGGGCAGACTCATCACCATCCTGGATGAGCCAAATGACAGTGGTATCATCTGCAAACTTCAAGAGCTTCATGGAGGGGTGTGAGGAGGTGCAGTTGTTGGTGTACAGGGTGAAGAGCAGTGGGGAGAGAACACATCCATGGGGGGCGCCGGTGCTGATGGTGTGGGTGCTGGATGTGAAGTTGTCCAGGCTCACCAGCTGCTGTCTGTCTGTCAGGAAGCTGGCGATCCACTGACAGGTGGAGGGTGGGACTGACAGCTGGGTGAGTTTGGGCAGGAGGAGATCCGGGATGGTAGTGTTGAACGCGGAACTAAAGTCCACATCCAGAATCCTTGCGTAGGTCCCTGGTCTGTCGAGGTGTTGCAGTATGTGATGCAGCCCCATGTTGACTGCATCATTCACAGACCTGTTTGCTCGGTAGGCAAACTGCAGGGGGTCCAGCAGGGGTCCAGTAATGTCCTTCAGATGGGCCAACATTAGTCTCTCAAAAGACTTGATAACTACAGGTGTCAGGGTGGCGGGTCTGTAGTCCTTCAGTCCTGTGAGCTTGGGTTTTTTATACAGAGGTTATTGACAGTGCTTTACAACAAATGTAAAAAATAAATTAATTCATTAATAAAAACAGAAAAAAATAAAATTAATTAATTAAATAAATTGAACAAAAACAGAACAAGTTGAGTAAAGTTGCACCCATTATACAGAATAATTATCAGCAGAAAAACATTTAGAACAACTAAACCATTCAAACCATTCACTAAACATTCAAAGTGTACAACAAGAGAGAGACTTAAAGAAGCTAAACAAGCTGATCAAGAAAGCTGGTTCTGTGCTGGGGATAACTCTGGAACCACTGGAGCTGTTCAAAAAAGAATGCTGCACAAGATGATGAAGATGATGGAGGATTCTTCCCACCCTCTCCACAACACAGTGAAGAATCAACAGAGTGTGTTTAGTGGGAGGCTGCGTCAGCTTCGCTGTCGAACGGAGAGATACAGAAAGTCATTCCTGCCAACAGCCATCACCTTAAAAAACAAATCTGACTGACTGATAATTGACTGACTGAATGATTATTATTATTGTTGTATAAAATCTATGTTATATTGATTGAAAAAAAAAAAAAAAAACGTGAGCTTTTACAAGATTGAATTTCCCTTCTGGGATAAATAAAGTATTTTTCATTTCATTTCATTTCATTTCATAAATTAAAATATCAACAAAAAACACTGAGTTCAAATGCAATACTGGCAGTTTAGAAAATACAATTAATTAATTAAAAGCAGTGGCAAAAAGAACAGTCTTTAGCTTCCTTTTAAAAGATGGTTTTGAAGCAACTCTGAGTTCCAATGAGAGCTGGTTCCAACTGAATTATGACTCCACACCGTCTCACTGTGTCTGGTCTGAACTCTGAGTATCACTGACTGACCATTTCCTCCAGATCTGAGGGACCTACCAGACTTTAGAAAACACATCTCTTGTATATTTTGGGCCCAGTTCATTTAAAGACGTAGAGCCTTAAATTCAGTCCAATATTTACCTGGAAGCCAATGCTGGGATCTAAGAATCAGAATGCAACATGAAAGAACGTCAAGTTTTAATATGAGCTTTTTACAACAGTGCCTCTCTTTCCCACTTTGTCATATAACTTTAACTGGTGAAGAACAGGCAAAAGTTGTTGTAAGCACAATGTCTCCCATGTCAGACACTGAAGCTTGCAACTCCTTCAGAGGACTCATAGGTGTCTTGGTGGCCTCCCTCACTATTCTCTTTCCTGCACAGTCTTTCAGCTTTTGAGGTCCACCTGCTCTATACAATTGACATACGTGACAAACTCCTTCCTTTATCTAATGATAGATTTAACTGTACTCCAAGGAATAGTTAGTGACTTGGAAATGCTCCTGCACCCATCCCCTTAACTGTGCTTTCCACTATGCTTTGGGTGAATACATTGTTTTCAGACACTGTTGTAAATTCCTCCTCAGTTTGTTTCCAGAAACAGAAACTATAGCCGTGACTGTCTTTACCAGAAGCCACAGCCCTGTACATGCAAATACTGTTGGGAAACAATGACTTCATGTCTTTGTTTGTTTGTTTTCGAACACTGGAAAGGAGTTTGGACTGTTTTACTGCAGGTGGTTTATGACTTGTAGTTGAAATGTTACCTAAGTCAGGTTAGTTGTGGCTCACAGCCCTTTAGTAGTTCATGCGTACCATCACAAAGACTTTATTGAGAAGACTATTACTGGTAAGGCCAAAGTCTGAAGTTCAGACCCGAAGTAGCCATCTTGGCACTACTTCTAAGATAACCAACATTCACATCTCTGACAGTAAGTCATTTATATTAACAGATGGTAAATCTTTTTAACATTTGATTTTATTTATGGTTTACTGGAAAATTCTTGATCATTTATTAGGAAGGGCTGTTTTGATTTTGTTTAAGATGATTGTTAAAGTGTTACATTTTACATTCAAAATGACTAGCAGAAGAATGGAAGGGAAACTACACGGAAGCTCTCTCTGATGGCTGCTTCATTTAAAAAGTCTGATTCGTCAGATTTTCTAATGTCCTGAAGTCCATATAAGTTGGAGAAGAGCTTTGTGTTGTCTTTCGTGCTTCAGAGATCAGTTTGGGTTGTTTAATCAGACAGATTTAAAACTCAGTTTGTGTCTCCCAGCAAGAAGGCTGAGAGGTTGTTAGGTGTTTTCCGGTAAACTGTTTTTTTTTTTTTTTTTAAAGCAGATTTTTTTAACGATAGTTTTTTATTTTACTGTTTCATTAAACTATTCATTCACATCTTAACTGTAACAAAAAAAGACCAAAACTGTAAACAAGTTTGCATAAAAAAATCTGCATATTTGTACATTGTTTGTTTTTCTATAATGTTTGACAGTAAAGTTTTTTTGTTTTGTTTTTTACTGTATTTAAATAAGCAGAAAATATTGTTATTTTACTGATATTTGCCATTATTGGAAAAAAGAATATGTACATTACGGATTGGAAAATGTTTAAAAAATTTTAAAATGTTGTTATAGTTTTTTCTAAATTACACAAAATGTCTAGTAAAATCACAAAACAATTTTTTTCATGCTGACTAAGAAAAACAGACGAAAATTGTACGTAATGTCTGCATCAAAAATCAATAATTAGACAAACAGTAATTTGATCTTTTACAGTGTGTGATCATAAAATTACATATTTAAATGAACTAAAAATATAACTGTTTTAATTCAATTCAATTCAATTCAATTCAATTTTATTTGTATAGTGCATATTTACAACAAGTCATCTCATAGCGCTTAACAAAGGCAGAAACAGAAACAGCCAACAATCCAAAACATTTGGATTCCCTATAAGCTTCAGCAGTCCGAAAGCAGTCCAGATATTTGCTTTTTTTTAAACAGCATTTGAATGTTACAGAATTCCCCTTTTTCCTGGCACCTTTGTTGAAGCAATAAGTTTTTACTGCAGTGTAAAAAGGCTGTAGGCTGTTTATCTTGAAGCTTCTTTATTCAGTGTCAGAGGGGTTGTCCTGCCTGGAAGGGCAGGGATTCTGTCAGTACTTCTCAGAATCTTATTTCACTGCAGAAAAGAAGCTGACGATTAATACAATACGTTGACTGGTGTCAGTTTATAACTGTTCATGTCTTTACCAGCGACGTATCTCTGAGCTGAATCTGGATGGAAGATGGCAGCAAACATACCAACCACATCAAAGACCCAGGGTAAATCCACAATCACCAAGAAGCAGGTAATATTGTCTGAGCTTCACTTTATGTACCCCTAAAATACTGTTGAATGAATCTGCTGATAGATTAGCACATTAGAGTATCTAAGCATTATATTACATTCTACATAGTATATGAGGTGTCATGCTTACTGAAAGTCAGCGCTGTCTCCTAGAAAGTGTTACTTACAGTACCATATCAAATTATTTTTTTTAGAAACTTAATTACGACTGGATTACATTTTGTAAGAGCAAAATGAAAAAACCACTAGAAATAATGTATTTGGCATGATGCAAAAGATTTGACACTTTACAAGTTGTTACAGTATAGCAGCCTGTAATGTATTTTTCCCACCAAAATATCCAATCTTGCAGTACAATAATACTCTTACTAATGCAGACAGGACATATACACATAGATTGACCCAAAACTGGTTACCAACCAAGTGATATTCTGCATAACTAACTAGTAAGTGTTGTATTGTCGACACTGTAAAACACTGATGCATCTTAACAACTTCGGTTTTTTTGAGGAAAAATGACAGTTAACCAGTAAAATCACTTTAAAAGATATTTCTTTTACATGTTTACCATAAAAAAATATTTATAACAGTAAATAATGCATGGTCAGAGCTGTGCGCATATTTACGCACATTCCTAAGTATAAGTACAAGTTGATAAATTCCATACTTTGCGTAGGAATGTTCGTACGCATGCTCTACGCACATATCTGTGCGTACACACTGATGATAAATGAGGCCCCTGGTTTCCAGTTGCCACAATAAGATTCATTTAAGGTTACAACAACAAGGAATGTCACATTGTGAATTGCCAGTAATGCTTGTAAACATTACAACCCAGTGTTGAATCTGCGCAGACAGCAGTCGTCAGTAACCAGGAATTTTTTTTTTTTACCGTGCATTCAGGCTTATGAATAACTACAAAATCCAGTATACGCATCATAACCTGGATACTGGTGTAAACACACACTCGTGGTTGTGGTGATTGTCTGCAGGTGAGTCCAGGGTTGTAGCTGAGGGTGATTGTCCTGATTAGTGGTGAGATGCACAGGGCCAGAGAGGGAGAGGGACAGAGAGCAAGAGAGAGAGGAGGGAGAAAAAGAGGGAGACACGCAAGGGCTGAGGCTGAGGCTGGGGGGTCATGACACACACTGAATGTAAACACAATCTACGAGCATTTATGGACAGATTTTTGCTTTTTCTTTTACAATGTTGTTGATTAAACTTCAATAAAATGAGTAACAGTATATACATTTGTTTCCTAAATTGTTGACAACCTGGTAATAAGGCAGAGCAATAAAGATCATCAAGCCTTAGTTATTCTTTAACACTGATTCTCGTCAGTGATACAACACACCGCTGCAGACTGTTGTCCAATATTTCAAAGTTGTCATCCAAGTGTTACTGCTGCTGCATTGTTTTTGAGATTCAAAGAGTTAGTATTTATTGTGCTGTTATTACACAGAATTTGCTTTCATTGTATAATTGAGACTTTTTTCTCTCTCTTCTTTATATATATATCTGTGAATTTATTCATATTATATCTAATTATGTGTTCTTTTCTATATACAGGCCAGAGCCCTAGAGAAAGTCACAAGTTCCAGCTCTGCACCATGGAATAAGCCCTCGATCAGTGAACTGGAGGTGAACTAACATATAAGATGAGGTTGATACAAAAAGTAACAAATTAATGAAATCATTTTTGTTTCACTGAAGTGTCTTGTGATTTTGCTCCTACAGATCAAGCATTTAGAAAGACCATCAAACAGCTGTCAACCACTGGACAAAGCCCTCTCAACAAAGGTAAACAAACCTTTACATGGTGTAAATGGATAGGATGTGGGAAAAGAAAGAAAGAGAGCAACAAGACACTACTAGGAGTCACACAATTACCTTTCTCTCTGAATTTTCTACAAAAACAAACATGCTGGAAAGCTCAACTGAAAACTCCCGATAGAGTATGATGGCCGCTGCCCCAAAACCCCATATAGTAAAGTAACTCGTCAGAACTCAAATACTGAACACGTGTAATATTGCACTCCAGCAGAATGAAGCAGACATGTTAAAGCCTCATAGGGATCTAAATCAAACAAATGTGTTTTAGCTCGAAAATAATATCTTGCAAGATCTGTGATTGTCAGTTTTAAAAAAAAAAAAAACCACTAGAGATTATAGAGCTATGTTAATGCCATACAGAGTCGAAATGTGTTTATACGACAGAGAAATCTAGTGGATATTAATTGTTGAAAACTGAAAATGTTTTGTTTATGAGGAAAGTTATTTATTATTATTCATAAGATCAGTGTATAACTTTCAGCAGCAACTGTTTATTTGAAAATTATCCTCAGGGTTTTGGGATGTTCAGCACAAATTTCAACCCAGTGAAAATTAGTCAATTGGTGAGGCTTAGGGGCTGCAGGGTGGAACAGTTGGTAGCACTGTTGCCTCGCAGCAAGAAGGTTGACGGTTCGCGTCCCGGTGGGGGCACCGGAATCTTTCTGCGTGGAGTTTGCATGTCCCCTTGCAGTGTGGGTTCTCTCCGGGTTCTCCGGCTTCCTCCCACAAGTTAATTGGTGATTCTAAATTGTCTGTAGGTGTGAATGTGAGTGTGCTTGGTTGTCTGTCTCTAAGTGTAGCCCTGTGATAGACTGG